ATAAATTACATTGGGCTATATTCTACTGTTATTTTACGCATAATTCATAAAATTTCATGGTGACTACTCATATCTTGTAAATATTCGAAAACATTTCTCTAAACCCCCTTCGAAACCTATTGCCAAATGTTTTTGAGAGAATGTAGTAGTACCTCTTAAAAATCTTATTACTTGTTTGAGTTTTATTTCGGAAACCTGAGAGATCACAATACTTTTGACACACCAAAAATATTTTAGAGAATTTTCTTTAAAATCCGTGGAAATTTGCTTTAAACACCTCGAAATTGTTTTAGAAAATGCTTTAAAAATTGTTTTTCTGATTTTGCGATAAATCCAATTAATCGTCTAGTTTTTTTAGCAGTCATAACTAATTATGACTTTTTTTTAATTCCATGTGTCAACGTTTATTAGGAATTTACTGCAGGATCTTTTCTTGGTTAATCTTTCTTTAATCTTTGTATTATTTCAATTTTTTGTATATAATTGTTAGTCTTTATTTATTGTCCCTCTCTTGTTTTGGGCTGGACCATCATCGGGCTTTTGCCCAATGACCCGCATAATGCTTTTTAGAGGTGCCCCTACAGAAGGTCTTAAGTTGTTCTATACTATTCCGGTTTTAACCTTACGAATTAGGAAAACTGTAAGAAAACCTAAATTCGGAGAAGCCGGCAGAATGCTCTAAACTGATCTAAGGAAATTCCGTCTCTGCCCTAAATGAAAAATTCACCTCAACCCAGGTTCGAAGTCTAAACAACGATATCAGCTATTTTGTAGACACTTTAAAAAATCCTCTGAAATCTACAGAAAGAATCATAGAAAACCTTTAAAGTTCCCTAAATTAAAATTAAGATTTTAAAGACCTTTTTGTAATTTTCCTACAAAACTGAGGAGAGTGACTTTTCTAGTAAGTCAGTAGGATTAAAAGCCAAATCGGATTTAAATTCTAAAGCGTTTTTCAATAAGGGTAGCTAGCTGTTGAAATGGAATAAAACAAGCTGTCGTTTTTTATTAATGGGCCTAGTTTTCGAGTGGCTTCCAGGGCCGTACCCAGAGGGGGCTAAGAGCGGGATACCCACTTTGCCCACTCTTAAAAATAATATAGCGTGGTCATAAATGATCGAATATAAAGAAAGGTGCTTGGTATTTGAAATAGTCAACTATTAGATTGGACAATTATTTTACGTTGGCATATAAATTATTTTCTCATAGGGTGGCCAAGTGTGGTGGTTTGTATGGGTATACTCATTCGCCCTCGCAACCTCAATTTATTTTTCTGAGGTAAACTCGATATTAAAAAATAAACTAACCTACAGCCGTTTGCTTTTATTTATTATTTATTTATTTATTTATTTATATTTATTTTTAGATAGAAGCCTATATTTTTTTGATTGTTACAAATGATTGTTGCATAATATACCATTTCAAAAGGTCAAGCAAAAAAGCTATTGGAATTACACCCTATCAGGCAGCATGGTAAATTCTTTTTTCAAAACTATGTCGGATATGTATGGATGATGTTGATGATAAAAAAGTTCAAATATTTAGAAAAATACAAAAAATTCACACAATTTTACAATTTTCTGCAAATGAAACGAGGGGTGTGGGTTTCGGAAGAGATTAAGTGCTCATTTGCTCAATAGATTGTGGCTACTGCAGGGGAAACTTCTGCACTAACTCCATTCAACCAGATGCAATTGACGAATCAGATGGAGAACATGACCTGAACTGTATACCGTGTGTCCCAGGTTGAACCCACCATAAGCAAACATAATTAATGTATTTTTTCACGTAGGATCCACGAGGCTTTTGATATGTATTTGAAGTTAGCGTTCAACGTACGTTATTGCGCCTGCCTGGTGCTAAAAAGAGATTGGAGTAGTACATTGAACATGCCTCGTGGATCTTTCGCAAAAAAATGCATTGCCGTTTCCCTATGGTGCGTACCTGGGACACAGTGTATAATAGGGCGACGGAAATAACAAACTTTGAGGAGCCAAGTGGCCCAACGACAATTAAACGCCAACGCGACGTGTGAAAAATTAGTATTCCACCTATTTTTCCCCTTTTCTTCTTATTCTTAAGTATAAATAATGTTGTTATTTTATTATTATTATTTATTATTATTTATTATTATTTATTATTATTTATTATTATCCCTCTCTTGTTATTTAGAGATGCCTCTGCAGAAGGTCTTAAGTTGGTCTATACTACTCCGGTATTTACCTTACGAATAAGGAAAACTGCAGGAAAACCTAATTCGGAGTAGTCGGCAGAATGCTCGGAACTGGTGTAAGGTAATTTCCATCTCCGCCACAGATGAAAAATTCACTTCAACCCAGATGCGAACACCCGACCTCCGGATTTATAACCCAATGCCGATATGAGAAATTTATTCAACTTCGATGAGCACTACTAGAATGGGAACGGTCGATCCAAAGAACATGCGTGTGGTTGCATCCAATGCAAAATTTAATGCCCTAAAACTTTTAATGGGGCTACGTTTTCGATATTTTGAGCCTTTTATAAGATATAACCGTAAAACCGTTTTTCAAGTACATTTTTACCCCCACAGTCCACACTCAAGCATAACTCTTCAGGGAGGGGGGGCTAGGGTAGTCATATTGGGGAGCAAATAAAGCCACTAAAAGAAGCTTTTGTAGGATTTAAATCCCATTCGGCTAGTTTTTTGAAACTTCCTTATTTAAAGATCCGAGAACTCTCCTTAAAAATGTCTTAAGGAGTTAGGAATCTTCTTATAACATTTTTGGGTCGCAGAACCATCATAAACGTTTTGAAAACTTCTTGTGTAATATTTTTGGTATTCGCCCATGCGGACATTTTTTACGTGTTTTCTTGGAAAATTTAGTTTCAACGAAACATGCCTTAGGTGTTAAAAACTTTATAGTTCTTTTTAGAATCTTCTATTAAGAAACATTCTCAAAACAACGTTTTAGAAGTATACTTGTATTATTGAAAAATTCCAAAAAAAGTACATTGCTCAATTCGTATAAGTTGGATCGTTTTTAATGCTTCACTTACATTTGTGCTTTGTTTCAGGAGACAGATGAACGCCAGCTTTCGGTGAGTGCTTTTTTATTGCCTGGGTTGCATGTGTCATAACTAACATGTATGTGAAGTGAATAGTGCAGGAAGATTAACGACGAAGGACTCTTTGGTATAGGTATTATACTGCTAGATGGGATAAAAGTGAGCGACCAAATCAAACAGCTTGAAAAAGTCAATTTGCCAGTAGTGGGTATAGCTATGATTTCGTAGTTATACCCAAGCATGCTGAGTAAACTGATTTTTTAGTGTAAGTTCCTACACCAATCTGGCTGATTTGGACAGTTCACAAATACATCTCATATAGTAGGTATTAGAAAAGGTAAGTAGATAACTATTTATTAAATTGGTGATGAGTTGACTGGAAATGGGATGTTGTGACTGGATGTAATGCGGTAACGCATTCTTAGTTGGGTAAGGTTCAATTAAAAGGGAAATTTTCCGATCAGGTTTATCATGAATGCCATTTGAGTCAAAATGATTGCTATGAGTGCATGCATGATAGTTCTATTTAGCTTTGAGTTGGTCACTTACAGCATTAAGTAGAGTGTAGAAGTGAGCATGAAAAGTGGTGAACACGAATGGTCGGAGAAAAACTGTTGTTGGGTACTAAAACGTTAATTCACACTCGCATCTATGGCCAAACGTGGCCTAATAGGTCGAATCTTTCTTAACGCCTTTTATTATTACGAGTACGTTTGTTCTTTAAAATTACTTACGGCCTTCGGAAGATTTTGCGTGTCAATAAATGTAGCTTTTCTTTAATTGTAAATTTCATTAATTTTAGTCAAATAATACACCATGGTGAATAAACTGTGCACATTTTAAGGTGGGAGTGTAGGGCTAAAGAACTTCTTGGAGTAATAGGTTGTGGTATCCAAGATATCAGCAGGTATTATTCGATATTAGGTAGGCTCATCTTTGTTAAAACAGCTTAGGTCTTTGACGTAAACTTAAGGTTGCAAAAATTATATGTCAGTAGTAACGCATTAGGTAACTTTAAACAAAGCGCAGTAGATTAAGAAATTGAGGGGGTGATAGACACAGGTGACCTTCTTGTGTAGGTATTCGACGAGCTTCTCTTATAATTTAATTGATACATAACGCCTCTAAATTGATACCGACCATACACGGTCACAATCGCATCATTTCTTCATAACGCAAGATACATTTCTTCGACTCATTCTTTATGACTACGCGGCTAGTGTTTCATCTTTATGTGCATCCACGAATACCATGCTTTCAGGTACAGAAGGGATCCATGAAGATCGACTACGGAACAACTTCTTGTCGCCTCTTGTAGTCAGCAGGCATTTGGTTGAAGTAACGGTTACTTATTTTATTCATAAAGATGAACTTTGATTGAAAAGGTCATGGTAAGCTAAAGCAGAAGTCTAAACTATACAGAAGTGGCTATGAGTACTTTCCTCATAATGCTATTCGAAAAATTACCTAAATGAAAAACTTCTATCTGTTCTATTTATTCTATACATTCTTTACACACTGAAAGATATTCTGAACTCTATATTCTCTACAATATTCTTTATGCTCTGAAAAATATATTCTTGAAACTACCTTACTGAAGAACTTATCTATTCTTTATATTATCTACAATATTAGTTACGCTCTGAAAGATGGTAAACCTTTATTATTCTTTATACTGCAATACTCTTTATGTTCTGAAAGATATTCTTAAGCTTATATCTATTCGTAAAAGAGAATAGGGTAAGTGTTTATATCGGCCTTTGTGACGTAAAACTTTTCGAAAGTTTGATGTCACAAAGTCAACGTAGTTTGAGCACAACTCCTAAGTAATGTTCAAAACTCTCTAACACAATTTTTGGCAATGACACAAAATTTAATTCAACTTGTTGGAGAGCATGCTTCACAGGTTGGGTGGACGGGAAGAGGCATGGGCGGGGCTCGATGTGCAACCACCTCCACGTGGTGAGTCCTGGGTAGCTCTAGCCAGCGGTATAAGGACACGTGGTGTGAGCTAGCCGAGAGTTGCATCAATTGACGCGTAATACCGAAAACTAGGAGTTGTGCTCAAACTAGGAGCTAGATTTGATTCATAGCATTAATGTTGTTTAATCACAGGTATGTCGACACGAAACTCAATTTCTGAAACTTTTTTCTTCAATTTGATGCGAGTTCAGGAGTGGTTTCAAACCTTGGTCACAATCCTCAACCAGTTATGGAATGACCATCATCCAGTACAATCGTGTAAGGCATCTGAAGAGCGAAAACTTACTGGAACTAAGGTCCCGTAACAGAGACTTTCCCATCGAAACCATCTGGAAACGATTTAATCTGCGGAAGTTATTAGATGAAATCAGTACGGCCCCTATGTGCGAGTGAGTAAAACAGCGTTGAACATTATTATAAATTCTATCAAAATGGACGGCGTGGTTGTTTCACTATTTATCCATCCACAGGTACCCTGAGGCCAGTCCATGTCGAAGCTGCTTCTGTACTGAAGGTCAACTCAGGAAGCCCGATCCTCTCTTCCTAATGGGCCTACCGTACCGGACAAGATGGATTTCAAGCATTGGTAGTGGATCTAAATATCAGCGGTTGCTTTACTTGCGGCGAGAGTACTTCGTAGGGGAGCCGTCCTAGAGCAACCTAGTCCCTCCTGGCAGTGAGTTAAATGGCGTTCATGGCAAATTCCAGCACTTGGTGGGGGATCTAAACGACACGTAAGTTTTATTTAAGTTATTAAATGTCACATGAATGGTGACTTTATATCATAGCCACCGCAAGTGTAAAGTGAGGAGGTAGAAATGGTGGCAGTTATATTTTGTGCATATCATTTGGTTAGTTACAATGTAGCACTTTGTAATATACGGTTTTGATCTAGCAATGCAATAATAATAACCAACCGTTATTATCGACATCCCAAGCTTTTAATTTCAGCGTGTCGGTTGTTGTATTAAATGAAAGAAATTATCGGAAGAATAAAAACATTATCGGTGGTTCGTAGCACTACCGGTACTTAAATTGCAATTCCGTGTGTCCGAAAACAAATCCATGTATTGTGCGAACATATTATTATACGCAAGAAGGAACGCGTCTTAACATTTCGGTTTTGAGTTAAGTGATTAAGCCATAAATGACGATTGAATAGTGTCGTTAGTATACAGTTTTAACAGAAACTTCTTGGTTAAACCATTGTTTAAAATTTAAACAATGATTAAAAGTTAATCAAAATGTTGTCTACAAACGCATTTCCACTATGCGTTCCTCCTTTAAAGAAATTGTTAGTTTTAACCGTTTGTGACAATAAATTACTCTTTCTTGCTAATTCCGTGTGTCCGAAAACAAATCCATGTATTGTGCGAACATATTATTATACGCAAGAAGGAACGCGTCTTAACATTTCGGTTTTGAGTTAAGTGATTAAGCCATAAATGACGATTGAATAGTGTCGTTAGGAGGTATACAGTTTTAACAGAAACTTCTTGGTTAAACCATTGTTTAAAATTTAAACAATGATTAAAAGTTAATCAAAATGTTGTCTACAAACGCATTTCCACTATGCGTTCCTCCTTTAAAGAAATTGTTAGTTTTAACCGTTTGTGACAATAAATTACTCTTTCTTGTTGGAGAACTAAAAAAAGCAGGAATTAAGGTCGATTGATGCGATGCCGCGCGGCAAAGTTGGTCTTGTTTCTTGAACGTTTTTTTGTATATACGTAGTCCAGTTAAGTCCAGTTAAGTTTGTAGAAAATGTGTATTTGAACCATTTCATCTTTGGCGCATTTCTATAAAAATAAAAATTTGCGATATTGTGGCCACTTTGTCCGTCCGTCTGTCCGTCCCTCCGTCCGGTCGCTACTAAATCTTAGGAGCTATTTTTTTTACTTTTTCGCTATTTGGTTCGTTATGGCGACGAGGCTTCCACCAAAGGAAGGAATTTTTCCTGCTTTAATTACTAAAAAAGTTATAGTAAAAAATCTAATTTTTTCATGTATCATAATTTTACACCTTTGCCGTTCATTAACGATCCTCGAGGGCCAAAAAGATACAGCGCAGCAACTATGCAGACCAATTAAAAAGAATTGCGCAATCCAATCTTTTTATTTGTTGAGATATTTAAATGAAACTTTGTATACCGGGTGGTGACTCGAAAAACACACCATAGGAATTTCAATAGTAATTTATTCATTTCTGATTGTTGGCTTTCCTAATTATTTTAGAGATAATGTCTATTTAGATTTTTTGGAATGAGAAAGATTACGAATCCATGCATACTATAGCTTTTAATTTTTTGAACTTTGAAACCAAGAAATTGGATAACTAACAACAGGCGCTTTTAAGAAAATTAGTGGTGCCTTGGCAGTTTGAGATCAAATAAAGCTAACTAATGGCAAATGCAGGCGCTTTTATTTGATTTCATAATGCCATGGCATTACTGACTTTACAAATTCGACAGTTTTTAATTTTTAAATGTTTACTGTTTCTGAATTTATGAAATACAGAAAACAATAGTATGTACGTAGTATATATTCAGCGCATTTTAAAGCTCATGTTGAAAGGCGTTACTATAGCCACTTTATTCGTTTTTTTTTTATTTTTAAGATACTAAGTTCTTTTTGTATTCGATAGCTTATAGCTTTGGCACCTCAACCAAGAAAAATCTTGACGATTAACATGCGCATATGTGCAGACTGAGCAATGCTAAGTTTCTTATTTTTACCATAATTATTTTCCTTTATACACACTCTTTAATATAATTACATCAACAACATTTATCTAGATATCCTACATCAAAGTAAAACAAATGAACGTGTAGGTTTCTAATTAACTCTAGCAATACCACGCTTTTTTTGTTTCAAATGCCATCTTTGTTTTGTAGATTTTTCATATTTTATCGTAGTAACAAAGTGAATAACTTAATAAAGGAGAATAAAAACGCAAATAGACGTGAAACACGCTTATTTATTGCATTTTGTGCTCCACAAAGGAAAAAATAGAAGAAAAGCATAACGATTGTTAACATACTTTGTCTGGCAAGTTTGGCATACATAAGTATTCGTGGAATGTTTTCCACATGAAAATTGTTTACAAGAAACACACATTATTGTGGTTTTTGATATTTTTTTCGTAGGGCGCCCACTTGAGCAGCATATATGACAGCGTTCTATTTGTTGAATTGTGACATGTGGTACCGCGGGGTGGCATTTTGTGCCACCTGACTTTAGGCTTTGATAAAAATTCACAGTGTGCTAGTTTGGTAGTCATACTTCGTTATAAGGTTAAAGAACTCAAATAAAACAATATAGAATTTTTTCAAATTTTGTTTCCTAAGATGAGCATACATTTCTCAAAATATCTCGTAAAGTGGCATAAAGTGCCATCCCTTGATACTTGTAGGGTAATTAAACCTTGAAGGCAAAACGAAATCAACAATATTTGTTGCAGCAGTTTCGCCCAAAATACTCAGATACCTATTCATTTCAAGCCTTTTGTGATAGGTTAGGCCACTGTCTTCCAGTTAATGGAGAATATTTTGAAGATTTATTGCAATGAAAACCATTTTACTGCCAATTTCGTTTTGCCTTGAACGTTTAATAAAAAACTTACACGTTAATTTTTTGATTTTGATGTAGAGTATCTAAAATGTTATTGATATAATTTCTTTTAATGCAACGGTACTAGCATATTATGTCATCGAAAAGAGAAAAAAAATCTATCAAATGAGCCTAATGAAAAGATAAATTTATATTTAAAGTATTCAATCGTTTTTCATTACTCGTGTGTTATAAAAACAACTTTTATTTAAAAAAATGTTTGTATAGGTACAGTCATTATTTACCAAGATATACGTATACTATACCTATTTCATACAAAATGGGCACAAAAATGAAAATCAAAATTCAGCAAAATTACATTTTGTTTTTTTCTGTGGGATTCGTATTTAATAAATATTTATAATTCAATGGTACAGTAGATAAACTACCCAACCATATAGCAAAGACCTATAGTCTTGCCCCTAACATTCAGAAAAAAACGACTTGTCTTAGATCAATTGAGAAATAAATAGTCCTAAAGGATTATTGCCTGAAAAACTAGCACATGGGAGAAAAAAATTTAGGTGTAAATGTAGGTATGTTGAGCATTTCAAAAAACCATGCCTTTATCAGTGCAAATAAAATTCGTTACCATAAAACGTTTTCTTGATAAAATTATACAGGGTGGCACAACGAAAACGAAACAGACTGAATAATCGTCAAGAAGTAGTCGATTTTGGTTGGAAGGGAAACTTCTTTTACTTAAACATTTACGCCCCTGGCTTCAATCCCCTAATCAGAGCACCACCCCTCAATAATTGTAAATTAAACGTTGGCAAAGGGCTCTTGATTTCCTATGCGGCTATGGTTCAGTTTTCAAATTCGAGCGACTCTTCTGGTTTTTAGGTAAATACAACAAACTATGTAACATAAGTACGGCTGGTTACTTAAATAAAATCGTATCACCTTCAGTACCTAAAAACCTAGGGGGAAACTTTTAATACGCCCTGAGAATTAATCTGAATTAACGTATTCTGGTGAATTAATTGGAATTTGTTTTTATTTACTTCCAAGTAGAGGGTAGAGGTGGCGGTTCCGATCGAATGACATGCAGTACGCACATTTAGGAGACCTCGGAAGTCGTGGATATGCGTACGAAGTTAGCTTAGGTTGGGTCACCCTGAAGGATTGCATAACGCCGGTGGAGGAAGGATTCTAGTGAGTAGGGCGGTTAAATAAATATACCTACACCTGATCAACCACCCGAAAGGGATTTTGACCTAGGTGTTGACACTATAAGAACCCTTTTTTAACATGATTACGCTCACATAAATTGACGGAGAAACATTGGCATCTCACATATTCATCAGTTGCTCATAATAGGTTTTAACAGGTTTTTTATTATACCTGAATCACAATCTCCGTTTTAAACACTCAAATGCGTGCGAAAAAGGGCCTTTAAAACACACGTGCTTTAAAGTTGCTAAGTAGCGATACTTCAAGTATGACTTTTGAAACTGTCATCTGGATGAAATAAAAAATCCTCTTAGGTCGCTTTCTGTAAATGCAGAACATTTCTTTGGCTTTTGTACCTATCCTTTGGTTGAAGCTTTCACAAACGCGCGTAATTTAGGTATGCTTCCAAATCTGTTCCACTTTTTAATCGCAGCATTGCTTTAAAGTTTTGAATTAATGCACCAAAATATAGAAGATTTAAATACCTTTGACATTTCCTTCATATATGCCAGCATTATGGATGCATTTAAGACTGTATTCGTAAGTAACTTCCTATTCATCCATGGAAACAACTTTTCATATTCTTTATAATAGGCTTTACTGGAGTTGGATTTTACACCTACCAACGTTTGTTTAGATTTTACAACAATCGTTTTAATGGACGGTGTATTATCGTTTTCAACGGAAATTGTTTAATTCACAAAGACGATGATTTTTATAAGCAAACGTCAAGTGACATTTCCATGGCAATCGTGAAATTACGAACACCCAGCCCACTTAATTAGACATGTATATTTGAGTATAACGTCAATATGACTTCATTGTATTTCCTATTTTTCAATTATACTGCAGGTATAATAAAAAATACTATAAGATACACGTGTATAATTGGTCTTTAAAGCACTTGCAACGTTAAAGGCCCTCCGCTTTGCGTCGTGCCCTTAAACTCG